TTATTTCAATTTCATATGAAATTAAAAGAAGGAGCAAGATATGCACATATTGTACTTATTTCATACACTTTTAAAAGTTTACCTAAATGAAGAATTTGACAGATGGTTGCTGAAACCTGCTGAAACTTTCAACTTTATCCAGTGTATTCCCAGCTTTTCTCCAAACTCCACACACGCAACCTACCTCACCATTTCGACATCCGAAATAATCCTTAAAAACTTTTCAAACTTGGAACAGAAAAAGTAACCCTCCGAATGCGTTGCACAGAAAAAAAAACGTACACTGAACGAAACAATGGTCGAAACGAAACGTAAACACTTTGCACAATGATAGAGTTTTCTAATTTCCGCACGGAAAAAGTAAAAAACGTTTTTGACACTGGCCACTTTTGTTGTAGTTCAAGTAGAGAACAAGTTTTGAGTTTTTAGTTACATCACTATTTGGCGCGAAAAGGACGCGCGCACACCGAGCGACGCGCGGCGTTCGACTGCTGCCGCTCACTTGCGCTGTGTTGCCATGTGCGACGTAAAATTAACCAAGATAAGGGTGAATTTGTAGAGCTTTTCCTGAAGATAGTCACCGAGTTATGAATTAGTTACATCTTGTTCTGATTGTGACTAGAATTTTATTTTATAACATCAATATTAAATATTATACTCGCTTTTTTGGACTATTTAATCCCTAATCTGATCTTACGAAGTTTATTTGTAATGCGATACACGTAGATAGTAGTGACGTGACAAAAAGATAAAAATAGATAATCAATGTTATTTATCAAATGTTTCATAATCATAACCAAATAGATATGTAGGAGATATCATTTACTATTTAAGTGTATTTCCCAGAACAATCTATTAATGTTATCAATGTAAATATTCGGAAATGTTTTTCGGACTTTGATGAGTAACGATTTTATTTTTACACTATCTATTAAATACATTTAACCATTTCTGAGACTTTGGTATTTGTAATTTTAATAGAAAATCAATCGATAACGAGTGTTATCATTATCATAAAAACAAAAGTAAAAAAAAGTTTTAGATATAACATGTCTTAAAGTAAAAATAGTATATTAAATCGTATTGTTGAAGGTTTAGTAGTGTAAAGTCAAAAACTTAGCCTATAATTTTATAACTCAGACCGAACTAACTCACAAATGTAGCAACTTTTACCCCTATTCACGGGAACAAAAGCTCTCCCTAACCTGGCAACACCGTGCGACGTTGCCAGCTCGCTACGCTCGTAATGAGAATGAGGTTAAAGTTTCCAACCAACTTTTTTTAATTTTCAGAGTGGAGACCGTTCAGGATAAGTAGATAGCTTCAGTACATCTTATGTTTTTTTATTACGAAGTCTTCTCGAGTTATGAAGGTTATACAATAATACGTACGTAAGTAATTCCTTTTCCTATATTATACACTATCAGTAGAGTCTAGTTTTATTTTAAAGAGAACTCTAGTAAGTATCGTCGTAATACTTACTAGAAACGCTACTAAACGATACTCGACATGCTAGATTGATTAAGCTTTTTGAGTGAATAATTTTTAATCACAATGAAAATACATTAAGATTCATTTGATTCATTTGTGAAAAGATTGGATATTTAACTATTTGAAAACAAATAAAATTAATTTGTAATTACGTATAAAAATACGTAATTTTCCAAACTGTAAAATAGGCGGAGACATGAGCTAAATCCCACTCTCGCTTTTTCTCTGAGTAATTTAATTTTTCAGATTTTATATATTTTTAGTCCTTTTTGTATACACTCAGTTTTTATTATTATTTTATTATTGGACCAACTGAAGCCATGTCCTTTATAATGATAACTTGAACCGCGAACTGCGATTAGTGGATTCAAAATTAGAATAAAGGAGATTAATTAACCGTTTTTGTACAAGATAAATAACGGAAACTTCCTTGCTTGGCAGTTATGGAGTTAGAAGTTTTTATGTGAGTTATGGGTTAAGTAGATTTAAAAGGATCTACTTTAAAATGGGTTATTTTAAACTTTATTTATTAATTGTTTAATTTTGTTATCATTAAAGTTTTATAAAAATTGAGTTTTTATTAAATTTATTGTTTTCTTTTTCGGATCTATTATATCACCTGCACACCAACCTAACCATTTTAAGGATCTAGTTATACTGGTCTTTTTGAGTATTTATAAAAATAACCACTACAAGCTGGTACCATAAATGGGTAGGTAGGTGTGCTTATGTTATGATAGTAAGTACTTACCAATTTTGTGAAGTAATTAAACAATTTACCTATATGGCTGCTGTACTTATGTAGTAGTTTGAAGTGTCTATGTAGTTGTTGTTTACTTACCTGAAAAAGAAAACATAATCATTAGTCACAATAAACAAAACTGACTAGGCTATAAAGGCAGGGCATACAGACAGACTTGACGAAGTAATAAGGGTTTCTAGAAGACTACGAAACCCTAAAAATGTAGGTGTGCAAGATATATTTTTAAAGCACAAAAACAGCCAATATAAATAAATTACGCGTGGAACTGAATGTCTCACACTCATATGTAGGTATAAATATCTTGAAATAAATATAATTTTATCCATGTCATACGCCGTGCACAGGATAAAATATTACACTGAAGGACAAAATTGGAGTGTAATGCCGGCTGAGAATAACATCACCCCATATCTTATGTTTTGTTAGAACATGAAATCATACAGCAAAAGGATTTGGCAATGTTGCATGACCGGCCGCCTGCCTAACGTCAACCGAGGTCAAAAAGTCTACGTCGCCTTTTACTAAACACCCTGAATGGACTAGGGGTGGCAGTATTCTAAGTCGCTACCACACTGGAGAACCACGTAAGACCACTAGATTACAACGGCAGTAAGTCAACCTTTGTACTGTTTAGGTCCTTTACACTGCTACTAAGTGTACAGTTAGAGCCCTTTCACACGAGCGATTTTGTTCGGCGATTTCTCGGCGGAGCGAGATCGCGGCGAGTACGCGGCGGCTTGCGGCGTGTACGCAGTGATATCGCTCCGCCGAGAAATCGCCGAACAAAATCGCTCGTGTGAAAGGGCTCTTATATGAACGTCGATCACATACCCAGTTGCGCAATCGCGCACAATACACGTGAGCTTCTAGACGTTAGCTAATCAATATAATATTGACATTGAAAATGAGAAAACTGAAAAATTCACTAGCGACCGCCGGGACTTGAACCCGGGACTGTGGAGCACCGTTCCACCGCTCTGCCAACTGAGCTACGCGCGCCTAGCGGACCATCGTCGCTTCGAAACGAGCATCAAGAGGCTGAGAAATTAACCAGGGTCCGCTAGGACTCAGTTGGCAGAGCGGTGGAACGGTGATCCACAGTCCCGGGTTCAAGTCCCGGCGGTCGTTAGTGAATTTTTCAATTTTCTCATTTTCCATTTATGTAACCAGGTGATTCAGTCTGAAATGCCCCATCCAATCTGGAAACAATCTTATGTCGTTTCGGATGCCCAGACCGAAGCTCAGATTCTCAGACCATTAAATTACAAAGAAGTCAACCTTTTTAGGTCCTTTTAGTCCTTTTTAGGACTGTTTATGTCATTTACACTGCCACTAAGTGTACAGTTATATGAGCGTCGATCGAAGCTAAGACCATTGGATTACAAAAAAGTCAACCTATATATATGTTTTGGTCCTTTTGCCACTAGGTGTACCTACAGTTATATGAACGTCTATCTCATCCCAAGTTGCGCAATCGCGCACAATACACGTGAGCTTCTAGACGTTAGCTAATCAATATAATATTGACATTCCTCTCCTGTAAACGAGGAGAGAGATAATAATTGGGTAGAAGGAGCCATACTAAAAACTAAATGAAGCCTTGAAAAACTTTGATTTTAGCCGATCTGCTTTGCTGCCTGCCTCCAACCCTTACAGAAAAGGCAAGCACTATTTTGTCACAACTATGTCCTTCACCACAAGCCAATATTCATCCGCTGAAGACTTAGGGCACAGAATATGTAATAGTTTAGGGCGCCACACACCGCCTTCTCGTCACACGCATACGTCCTGTAAACGGAGGCGGTGTGCTCTGCGCTTTAAGCTTCTTAAATGTCTGCAGTTGTACGCCACTGGCTACTGAGTATAAGCACAATACTCAGCTTTAGCCTTATCTAGTAATTTTTTTAAATTTTGTGCTCCCGGAAATTCAAAGTTGGTAACAACCGCAAAAGTTTCAAATTTGGCATTGCGAGAAGATCATCAATCACTTCGGCGCAGCGCGAGGTAAACACTACATCGTCTAAAGCTAAGTTTTCCAAGACGCGATCTCCACTTTACAATCCCTTTGAAATGGCTTCACTTTGGCCAACGGCGAGGCTCCTTCTAACATCTAAAAGTACAAACTATTTCGAGAAGCGTCCGGGTCAGACAATCTTGAGAATAGGGAAAGGTCAAACTGAAATGGGGAACAGGGGGTTAGATTAGATAACCAGCGTTACGAAGGATTTGATACAATATAGGCATTACACGTGACAGTACACGTGATTTAGAAATGTAACAAAACATGACCTTTGTTAAAAATTTTGCAATCGGAAGGATCTACGTCTTTCGCTAGCAGCACATACTAGCGACGACACCTCTATCCAATACGTTGAGGTTGTACAGGCAGAAAACAGTATAGAAATTTTGGAATAGAAATTGCTCTACCGACAAGAGCACAGCTCTTAAATTTTAAAAATAAAGTAGGTGCCCAGTAGTCTTCACTCAAGAATTTCCTTGGAATGGCTTCACTTTATTCAACGGCGAGGCTCCTTCTAACATTAAAAAGTACGAACAATTTCGAGAAGCGTCCGGGTCAGACAGTCTTGAGAATAGGGAAAGGTCAAACTGAAATGGGGAACAGGGGTTAGATTAGATAACCAGCGTTACGGAGGATTTGATACAACATAGGCAATTCACGTGACGGGACACGTGATTTAGAATTATAACATGAATATTTTAGAAGATGAAAATAAGATATTGAAAATGCATCGACCGGGGTTCGAATCCGGGCTGCATGAGTCTACGACCCACCGCTCTGCCACTGAGCTATCGATACACCGATCGATACCTGTTAAATTTTCAATGTATTGATGCTTTTTCAGAAATCTAGCAATCGGAAGGATTTGAACCTGCAAAAGTCGCTATCAGCACATACTAGCGACGACGCCTCCATCCAGCATGCAGCATAAATAAAAGTATTTCTATTTCTATTTCACGTTTTTTTTTTATTATTTGTTATTGATTCAAAAACTAGAACATTAGCGGCGTCTATCTGAGTACGTAGGTATTTAAAATCTCGAATTATTTAAAATCTTGTCAAGGATATCGAATTAAAGCACATGAAATTTATAGCCATCGATACAATAAGAATTTAGAGCCAAAGAAAACTAGTTCGATACTACGTAGCCTTACCTTACCTATGCCTACCTGAAAACAAAATTTACGTAGTTTTTACACTGGTATGTACTATCGAATACAATAGTTATGGCGGCTGGCTATCCATTTACCTAAGATACAGAAATTCTAATTCTTAGTTTAGGAAGTCAAGCCTCATAACTATTTCACATAAATGTACTTATTGGTAATTAAGTTTATTAAATAAAGAATTATCTGATCTTATCTTATCGAAGGAATTTCTACAATTATTTATCCTGCAATGTACTAGAACTCCTACCTCGTGGGTAGGGTCTATAAATACCAATAATCCTCGCTATCCTAACCACCTGCCGTGTTTTTTTAACTACTCTGGTCCAGTTTCACGACATACTCCATACTTGTTAGGGTTTCGTAGGATGCTACAAAACCTAACCATTTCGTCAAGTCTGTCTGTCTGTCTGTATGTATGCCGCGCCCTCATAACTTCGTCAGTTTTAAAGCGATGACCCAAATTAAGAAAAGTTGAGAATTAATCATATTATTTTGGACATGCCATACATTTGACAGAGCGGTGTGTCTGACACGCTCTTGACCGATTTTTCAGATACTAGTGTTTGTCTAGTGGTTTCACTCGTAATGAATCAGAGGTTTCAGTAACTACTGGGTGGGTTACACTATCCTATCCTCAACACCTGTCGTGTTTTTTTAATCCCCCGTTCCAGTTTCGCCACATACTCCATTCTTGTTCAAACACTACTGTTTGTTTGCGGTTTCACTCGTACTGAATCAGAGGTTTCAGCCTGTAACTTCTGAGTACCTAGTAGGCAGGGTCTATAAATGTGATTGCTTAGACGGCGGTCGTTACACAACAATACAAGAAGCCTGATACTTGTAGTAAGCGGTTGAAAAACTCTGACACCAGGGTTCATCAGGTCGTTGGACAATCCGGTGTCCCACTCGAAATAATGGTCTATAAATACCAATAATCCTTACTATTCTCCATCTACCGTGTTTTTTTAACCGCTCCGGTCCAGTTTAACTACATACTCCATACTTGTTCAAACACTGGTGTTTGTGTAGTAGTTTTACTCGTATTAAATCAGGAATTTCAGCCTTTATATTAAGACCAAGTCGTTTAACAACCCGATTAACCCTGTATGAGTTTCTAATGCTAGACAACAACAAAGTAATTCATGTGCCTTCAGAAGCACGGATATTTCTTTCTTATAGTCTCTTAAAATCAGCTTGCTCTACAATGCCCTAACAAACAGGGAACAATTTCACTAAGTAATAAATTGCCAATTTTCGACTATGTGTCCCTCTGCAAGATTACTGAAGCATTTAATATCGTACATTTTCCTAATAGGTACTCAAGTTCAGATTTATTTTTTCATACAAATGCCATCTATATTAGTCTAGATATCAAGTAGAATAGACTGACACGCTTTAGTCACAATTAATCGAACAAGTTTACGCCCCATCATAATATGTTAATACCTTTGTTACAGCCACCTTATACAACCTATAACTTCTTTTATATGGTCATTGGTGGTGTAAAATTAATTGTTTAGTAATGAAGTTTGAAATCGATATAGTAAATAACATTTACAATATTACAACATTATTCTATATACCATTTATAGTTGAGTTTACCACCAAGTAGGAAAGGGAGCGTCATACAACTTTACCACAATGAATGTATTGCTTTAAATTCTGCATCTTCGAAAGATTGATTTCCGAAAACAGCAGTCAATTTCAATGACTAATAAAATAATGGGAGGTGAATCACATCGGATGACTTCTTTTGGCCCACCTTGTATAATTACGACTTATTTAGGAAAACGTCCAATCAGCAGGCATAACGATTTCCTGCCTCAATCTCTAATTATAGAAAGAAAAAGTATCTCGAAATTAGCTAACAAATGTGTACAGAAGAGATACGTTACATTACTATCAAAGTTTTTACTTCTTTCTTTACTAGCTTGCGTTTCATTAGATACTATGGACTCAATTCCACAGAACCATCTGTAATAGTTTGTCACTTTCAGAATGAATCACATTGATAGTTCACTCTTTTTTCGTGGATTTTATAGTAGGTAAGCCTATGAGATGATTGTGTATGGACTTTATACAGGGAGTAACAAGCCGAAAGAAGGTTAAAGTACTCATGAAACTGTACAACTTTCCCCATGCAACATGGGTCAAAATCCCCGATCAACTGATAGATTAACTATGGGTGGTGCAAATTATTTATTTCGTATTTCGACCGATGTTCCATGGGGAAAATTGTTCAGTTTCATGAGTACCTTGACCTTCTTTCGGTTTGTTACTCCCGGTATAAATTACAGATAATCGTTTCAATTTTTTAATGTAGGTCATAGGATTTATTGTTTATGATTTAAAAATTAAGATCGCCGTCATCTTTATTATTCTGTAAAAAATAGGTAAATTCATGCAAAAAATGAGATTATCTCGAATATTTATGTTTTCATTAACTTCTTTTAAAGTTTAGGTAACTTTATCTCTGATCGATTTATCAAAAAGTATTTCCTCATCAAAAAAATCGACACACTTTAAGTTTTCATAGCCAAACAAAATATGAAATCTATGAAATTAAAAGTTGAATGTAGAAAATTGACATTAGAATTTTGTAATACTCACTATTGAACTATATTAGACATTTATTCCAAAATAACATATTTCTTAGATAATGTGATCTGTAAAAAGCGTGAACTTGCTAAGTGTCTCGATTTTTCTGAGAAGTATAGTTTCAATTTTACTTCTATCACTGGCAATGAGAATCGAGTCTCATATAATCTAGTTTTAACGACTCATCCGAAGTGGGGTCAGGCTCACCCCACCACATAAAAACTATAATAAACATTATAATGATCATCTCAGCTTCGTATGTAACCGACTATATCACTGGTTGTACAAAAATAGCTATTATTTCAACCATTTGTAGTGAATAAACGTCGAATTGACTGTAGAAACTTTTTGACAGATATAGTTCTAATTTTGCTTCTATGACTGGCAATGTGAATCGAGTCTCATATAATCTTAGAGATAGTTTCACTCCTATCACTGGCAATGTAAATCGAGTCTCATATAATCTTAGAGATAGTTTTACTTCTATCACTGGTACTGTGAATCGAGTCTCGTATAATCTAGTTTTAACGACGCGTCCGAAGTGGGGTCAGGCTCACCCCACCACATAAAAACTATAATAAACATTATAATGATCCGCTCAGCTTCGAATGTAACCGACTATATCACTGGGTGTACAGAAATAGATATTATTTCAGACATTTGTAATGAATGAATGTTGAATTTTGTATCTCACCCATCTTACTGCCATATAATTCTTGCAAATAAGTTATTTATTAATTTCTATTGACGGACTTACAACAAGTAGATGTGTTAAAAACAAAAAACCCGACTGCGGTAATTTTAAAGTAGTATTTTGCTGTAAAAAATCCGCCATCTTGAATCTATATTTTTTTAATATAGCCAGTGTCACTCGCGCTGCTGAGACGAATTTAACGACACCTCAATGTCAAAATCCAACTATCCGTTTGTCCACATACATACATACATATCTCGAAAAACATAAAGGAGGTATCAATGCGACCCGTAACTAAGTATAACATTCATAATCTTTGAATTGCTAAAAACTTTTTCTGATCTGAGCACGTAAGTAAACTGAGAGAAAATCTTTGGACACAGCATTGGCATCCTGAAAGCTGCTGAAAATTGTTCTGACTCCTAAGTTGGACAATGCCAGTACTAACAAAAAGATTCTTCAAAATGGATGAAGTTCTTTTTAAAATATACATGAAACAACCAACATACAAAACAAATAAGCAAATGATTCGAATTTAATCGACTAATGTAGTGACGCCTTTGAGTTGTGGCGTAGTGGCAGTGCTTCTGTCTGCTACGTAAAGGTCTCGAGTTCGATTTCTGGCCTGATTTTATTTGAGTGGAGAATAAAAATATGCTTATTGTGGATCTTCTATGTTATTCTGCGCGTGTTTTTTCTGAGTTTGTCAATGGCACCACAACCTAGTGAGAGCTGTTTCTAATGTGATGAGTGTTCATTTCGTGTAACCTCTCGAATTTCAAAAGATTCCATCATACTATGCATATTATGCGATCTACACATACATATTATGCGATCTACACATCAAAATGTAGGTAAAAACAATAAATAACCCATAAACCCACATCTTGTTCGAATTATAAAAACAAAGATGGCCGCCTCGGTCTAAAACATGTTAATATTTAAGTCCCAAACGCTGTTTATAATTTACACATAGTTTATAGAAATCTCTAAAGATTTTCTCTTCGGAAAATATACGATAAACATGCAAATTAAGCTGTAATTTTTCCTTATTCTGTCACAATAAGGAAAGTACAAGTTTATAAATTATCATTTTGATAGAATGAGGAATAAGATTGCTCTGTATTTTAGAGAGCACGTTAAACCGTCAGTACTGATTGCAGTTTATAATTTCTTAGATGGCGATCGTTGCACAAGTCACAACCATGTACTACTACCACCAGTAGCTGGACGGTTTAAAACCTCTTATAAGTACCTAAATCGGGTCGTTTGTAGACTCTGTGGCCCACCTCACAAAATTGACATAGATAAAATAAAGCCCTTTCAACAGTTTCTGA